GGCAACGGTGAAAAGCAAGTGAAGTCAAGATCGATGAACCAATACGGTCACGTGATGATATGAAGTGGATCATATCATTTGGTGATTGGTTGGTGCATATGTTGCATCAACATTGAAGGAGATGGAATGGAATGCGCAAGGCAAAAGTATAACCTAGGGCATTTCATTTCACCGGTCATAGGTGTGTAGAGAAGTTGATGACCAGGTTTAAAATAGATGGTCGTACTATCAAGAGGGGCAAACTTGTTTGCATATCGGTCATCTAGTGCCACTCGAGTGATCTAACTTTGCATCGTCGCTAGGATCGAGTGGCATGGCAAGTTGAGTGGCTAATCCTTTAGAAAATGTTTGTGAAAAGCTAACACACATACACATGGTGGTGTATACTTGGTTATGTTGGCACATTTGCAAAGGAGAAGAAGTTAGAGTTGATGAGGATCAACTCGGTGAAGAAAAGGAGACGAAAGAAGGTCACTGTGAGTGACCGGACGCTGGCCTCGATAGGACCGGTGCGTCCGGTCAGTGGCAGCAGTTGAGCGCGCGGTCTCGGTCTTATGACCAGATGCTGGCACGAAGAGTGACCGGACGCGCAGGGCTTGCGTCTAGTCAGGCTAATGTACGCTGACACAGGCAGGCGCGAGAAGCTAGTGAGGACCGGACCCTGAGCTGCGTCCGGTCACCTGTGATCGGGCGCGTCCGGTCGCTAAACAAATGCTCGAGGAGCTCTCTAGAAATGACCGAACTCTGGCTGGTCTGTGTCCGGTCGCAAAACAGAGGCTCAGAGAGCTCTCTGGAAACGATCGGACTTAGGCAGTGGCGCGTCCGGTCTTGGCGCAGAGGTGCGTCCGGTCATCACTTGACCGTAGGCGCGCGGCAGCCGACCGTTGAGATCAAGCGACTGAGGTTGAACGGAGGCGACGCGTGGCGTGCATCCGTTGACCGGACGCTAGCCGGGTGCGTCTGGTTGCCCAGAGCAGTGTCCAGTGAAGGGGTACAATGTCTCTATTTTTATGGGGGCTATAAATAGAAGGGGTCTCGGCCTTGGCTGGACAGAGCACCTTGGGGGACTTTGTGTCCATGCTTGAGAGTGCTTAGGAGCCCTCCATCTCACATATGCTTGATAGTGATCATCCAATTGTGTGAGAGAGCGATTCTAATGCGATTGCATCGTGAGGTTGCATCGAGTGGCACTAGGTGATCGAGTTATAAGCCGGTGGTGCTTGTTACTCTTGGAGGTTGCCACTTCCTAGACGGCTTGGTGGTGGTCTCCGTCGAAGCCCGCAAGAAGCTTGTGCGGTGCTCCGGAAAAGAGCTTTTGTGAGGGGCATTGTGCTCGCTCTGCAGGAGCCACGAAGAGCAACTCTAGTTAAGTGTGTCATTGAGCTACCCTCACTTTTGGGGTAGGTTCTTGCGGTGCCCGACGTGCGGGCTTGGCAGGTGATGCCAATTAGCCGCAGAACCACTAAGTGAGCGGTCGACACAACGGGGACGTAGCGTGTTGGCAAGCACGTGAACCTCGGGACAAAATTCACCGTGTCAACATTGTTCTTCCCGTTGGTTTGCAATCCCCTTACACAAGCTTGTAATTACTTTCATATACATTGTGCTTGTGTAGTTGCTCTAATAATTAGTTAGCTTGTGTAGCTCACTAGTTATCTTCTTGCTTGTGTAGCATAGAAGTAGCTCCCTTGCGTGGCTAATTTGGTTTGTGTAACCTTGTTAGTCACATTGCTTAGTTTATGTAGCTAAGTATTTATGCTCTCTAATTTGGCATTGGTTGCCTTGTTATTGAGCATTACTAGTGAGCTTAGAAGCTTTGTGCTTTTGCTTACTAGAATTGTGTAGGAGCTCCCGTGTGTAAAATACTAGTAGCATAGGTTTGTGTGACCTTGCTCTTAGAATTGGATAGGTGAGCTCTAGCTAGCCCGGCACCTTTGTTGCCTAATTAGGATATTTATAAGGTGCTTGTGAACTTTGATAGAGGGGTGTAGTCTTGGCTAGACCGACTGTTTTAATTCCGTATTTGTTTCGGTTAGCCGGTGCGATTAAATTTAGAAAATGACTATTCATCCCCTCTAGTCTGCCATCTCGACCTTTCAACGGGGGCGACGGGCATCATGGAGGCAGAGGGGCGTCGCACAGCGCGGACAGTCGCGACTTGCGAGTCGTGCAACGAGCAGGGAATAGATAAGGTTGGGAGGTGAGGTTAGAGATAAGGTTTGCTGTTCAGACTTAGGCTTGGGCTGTTTTTATGGGCCTTCTTGTATAACTCTTGGCCCATTGTTCTCCTATTTCTTCTTTTCTTTTAGACTTTGATGTAAATATACATGGATATGGAAACGCCTAGAAAAAACACCTAGGCTCGCTTAGGCTCGCCTAGGGTCTAGGTTATAGGTCATCGCTTAGAAATCGCCGAGCGCCTTTTTGAACATTGGTGTTCTCTAACTTGTGCACGTGTGTTCACTTTTCACAATATTTTTCTAAAGGATTAGTCATTCAACTTGCCACGCCACTCGATCCTAGCAACGATGCAAAGTTAGATCACTCGAGTGGCACTAGATGACCGATATGCAAACAAGTTTACCCCTCTTGATAGTACGACCATCTATCATAAATCCGGTCATAAACTTCTCTACACACCTATGACCGGTGAAATGAAATGCCCTAGGTTATACCTTTGCCTTGTGCATTTCATTCCATCTCTTTAATGTTGATGCAACACATGCACCAACCATATCACAAATGATATGATCCACTTCATATCATCATGTGACCATATTGGTTCATCGATCTTGATTTTACTTGCTCTTCACCGTTGCTTCGGTCCATCGGCGCCAAGTCATCACTCAACTTACCATTCACACTTACAACCGGTCCATCGAGCCAAGCCTTGTCTTGATCTTCTCCACCTTAGTCACGTGACTCAATGTCATGTCTCATATACAATGAGCTCATTCATCACATGTGTGAGCTTTACAATATATCCAAGCCATTTCACCTCTATGGCATGAGTTGCTCACACAAGTGTACATATGGACTAATCACATGTGTATCTCACATTAAACACAATTAGTCCACCTAGGTTGTCACTCAATTACCAAAACCAAATAAGGACCTTTCACCCCTCCATTTCAATTTGCAAGTCGTTCTGATTTTTGTAGATACATAGATTTTACTATGTATAGAGACAATATTATATATCTATGTACGTTTACAATTTGGAATTTGGAATGGAGGGATCATATCCTACATTAGATAGTAATTCTACTCCATCCGTTTAAAATTATAAGTCGTTTTGACTTTTTTGGTACATCAATTTTGCTATGTATCTAGATATAACATATGGTTAGATACATAGTAAAATCGATGTAAAAAAAGTCAAAATGACTTATAATTTAGAATGGATGGAGTAGTTGAAACCCCATTAGTTTTGATCCTGCTTTTCCCCTAAGCTAATTTATGAGAAATTACGCTCAATTATTATCGCATACTACTGCTCAAGATATAGTGTCCAGTGGCCTGGATAGTTTTTCAACGAAGAACTAAGCTCCACATGAGGATGGAAATTGCTTACTCCTTCCTTCCAAAATTTAGATCATTTTTAGTTTTGTCCTAAGTCAAAAAAAATTCTAACTTTGATTAAGTTTATGAAAAGTACACCAACATCTACATGTCAAATTAGTTTAATTAAATCCGTCATCAAATATGTCTTGATAGTGCATTTATTTGGTATAGTAGATGTTCATATATTTTTATTATAAACTCAGTTAAAGTTAAGAAATTTGACTTGGGACAAAACTAAAACAACCTTTGCTTTCAAGCGGAGTTGAGTAGCAAATGTTTATATTTTCGGTAAACATGTTATGAGCATCCAATCTAGTGCTTAATAGTAAGATTACTTATCACAACAGTCAGTTTCCAAGAAAGACGGGCTCAAAACTGTGGTTGACAAGGTGAAGTACTTCGATGTAACTACTGGCGCCAAAGAATCCTTTGTGCAGATAAGGGTCTGCTGTCAGCAAAGGGGAAGAGGAAGCAGAAAGCAAAGAGAAGTTCCGCTCCAAGAGACGAAAGAAGCAGCGCAAGTCGAAGCAGGGCCTCAGTAAGTACGCGGGACTGCTTCACTAATGCAGTGTCATTTGTTTAAACCCTATCTTCATCCTCCATGTAGCCAGTCTAATCACGTGATTTCCCGTTTACATCTTTCAGAGACGGGGAAATGATTCAGTCACTCAGCACATTGTCAGACAAGTAAAGCATCGGCTGTAGTTTCGCTACCCATGTCCCAGAGCCGCTCTGTAATTTCTCCAGCTTCTAATTTTTTTGCAAAGAGAACGTGCAACTTCCTTGCAACTAACGTGTATTATGCCTTCTCATTAAATTTCACAGAATTCGACGAAGATGTGAAGTTACTCTTTGTTTTGGCTTTTTAGTTTTTTTTGCTAACGCTTAGATATACATATATGTTGTCTAGATATATAGTAAAGTCTATGTGCCCAGAAAAGCTAAAACAAACTATAATTTGAAATAGAGCAAGTACAACTGTATGTTGATTTGATTTCTTGGAAGGTTTGAAAGTGTATGTGGTTGTACAGTGCGGATATGAATTGCATCATATTCAACTGAACTCTCTTTACGGGTTGCATATCAAATCACATTATGTAGGTCAAAAGGGCACCAGACTATCAAACTAGTAGTGACTTAAGGAAGCAATTCACAGACAGCCTAAATATGCGACTTCAAATTACAGAACAAGCATTCATGACGAATGAAACGTCCATGGAATTGATCAGTGCTGTCCTCATTCTGTAAACCCTTGGGATACATGAACCAAATTCGCGCTTGAAACACAAGTATTCTTAAAGACTTGTTCCCCACTCAAGGAGAGCAATGCTCATGTCTTATGGAAGCCGTGGTGAATAAGTTGACCAACCCTTCTAGAGTGGGAAACATTTGCAGGGCATCAATTGCGGGAAAAGCTCCAACACAAACAGCAGTTCTTACAGGTCAATGACCCGTGAAAGCTTCTGTATGCGGTTCAGTAAAAAGTCCCCTTGCTTGATGGTCGCCTGGTAGAAAGCATTCCTCTCATCAGGTCGGTTTGTCTCCAGAACACCAGCAACCTTATCAATCTTGCAGTGAAGCTTCCCAGCTGCAATGAACCGTGACAATTCCCTACAAGTGGAAGGAAGACTTTATGAATACAACACAGTATGAGAAAACCAAATTATCGTTCATGGGAATTGCAACAACAGAATCACGTACTGGTCAATGAAATCAACAGTTACACCAAATGCAGTGGCCATTGCTTCCATTGTCACACTCTTGTATGACTCCAAGAATTGTGAGTAGACAACGGTGCGCACTTCCCTCATGTAGTAGCGGAAATGAGGCTGAAGATAACGGTCTAACTTGATTTGCTCCGTCAGACCGGCTGGAAATAATTATAAACCATATCAATACAGGCCACAAAATGTACCAACAGTAATCTTATACTACTGCAGGAGTATGGACAAGTTATTTAAATATGTGAACTTACAAAATGCAACAAAAAAAGACTTGTACTGGCAGTTGTACAGGGAATTGAGAAACTCAGAGAGGTGAGGTACTTTGCCAATCACAGCCAGGATTTCTGGTGCATCTACCACCTATAAAATTTCTTGTTATCGAGGAAACCATGATATGATGATAAGGAAACATAGCAGAGTAGACAAAGTTGAAATACCTTTTGTTTCAGAGATACACGATCCAATGTGATAATACTTGTGAGGACTGTATAGAAGATGAATGTATCATATGGGAATAACTCATAAGTTGTGAAAGTCGAAATGGAGTCTAAAAATAAGCTAGCAGCTTTCTTGAAGTTTCTGGTTGCCATGCAGTACAAGCCTTCATATACTTTCAACCTGTTCTTCCTCTCCCAATCGCCTCCTTCCTCGAACAAGCTTCAGCCAGTAAAATACATGGTCAGATATCATCACTAACTATGTGTGCCGAATTACAGATTGGAACTACAGACAAAGATAGAGCTTACTTCTTTGCCTTATCAATGGATTTTGAGATCAGATCAAAATCCATATAGAAAAAACCAATCTGCAAAGTGTGAAACACAAGATCCATCTTTTGGCCAACAGCTACAGTTTTTCCTTCAGTGACTTTAAGCTGTTCCAGGGCCTTTTCCTGAAATAATGGTTCAACAATGTGTCAACCACAAGACACGTTTTTTTGTGAACAAGGCCACAGATAAAATTGTACAAGCATAGCAAGTCCTACCTTCTCACCAACCCTTATAAAGTACAAGGATTTGGCAAGATGTGCTTCACGGACTTCGCTCTCGCCCAAGTTCTCCTCGGCATCAGCAATTCTTCACAAAAAGGAGTTCAGTTTTGGAAGAACAAAATACGTACTTGTAAACTCACTTGAAAATTGCATCATTATATACAGTCAAAAGACAAATATTTGCAAGGCTGAAAATTCAGGGGCTCTGGAATTTTCTAATGTAGTTATCTTAACTTGCTCTTTCTCAGACTGTCAAAGATAACCTCATTCACAATGAGCTATACTTAACTTAGTTTCATTCATGTAGTGCACAGACTCATCTGATATCAGTTCAATTGAACATAAAAACCGTGAACTCCGAACTGTGGTGGTCTTTAGAACCCATAACTACCTTCATCAACCCTAGCTAGACCATGCAACAGAAACACAATAAGCAAAAGTAGATGCAGGGAGGATGACAACATACTCTGGAATGCAAACCACCTCAAAGACATCAACTATATCTTAGTGTGGACATAAGTGTTGAACGCAATGAGGCACAACTCTAAAAAATTGGGGGATTTTTTTTTTCAATAGAACTTATTCTCACCCCAAGGAAGCCCTAAATCATAACCCATAACACATCAATCCAGTGCGACGCATCGCAAGTTTTACCACCTCCACCTATGTCTAGCACCTAAACTAAGGTAGGTTCGTTTCAAGCAACAGATCATGGCACAACCTGAGTTATCATTACCACAAAAGCGTTCACAAATACGGTACCAGATGAATAATCGATATGGCCACGGCAAAGAAGCCACGTCCGAGCAGCAGCAGCAGAAGAAGAAGAAGAAGAAGAAGAAGCTACTCACTTCTCATCGAGCTTGCGGATCTCCTCGTCAATCCTCCCACGCATCTCGGCCAGCAGCGCGGCGTCCGCCTCCAGTACACCCGCGGCAACCAGCGACTCGAACAGCGTCGCCATATCTGGAGATTCCACAAAACCAAATCACATCAGGAGCCGCCGCATCGGAGGAAGAGGAGAGAGGAGAGGAGCGGCGGCACGGTACCATCGGATTTCACGGTGTCGAGGACTTCGGCGCGGAGGGCGACCTTGGAGAGGTCGTCGACGGCGGGGTGGGATAGAAGGAAGAGCTTGTGGGCCAGCACCAGGTGCCGCTCCTGCTTCGCCTCCTCGCCGGCGCCGCCGTCCATCTCGCTCGCCGCCGGGAGTCTCGCTTCCGTTCGTCTCCGCTGGCTCTCGCTTCGGTCGCACGGAGTCTCGGGTGCTCGGGCTGGGGTTTGCTGCTGGACTCGATTCGGTTCTACTAACCGGCTCTCAATCAAGAAGGGGAGAGTGGGAGGATGAAACGGGCACCGAAACGTGGCCCAATTACAAACGGCATCCGGCGGCTGTAGCCCACGGGCCGAATTTATCAAAATCTTTGCTTGTAAATTGATCGTCAATCCAAAAAATAGAATTGGAGACGGTAAACTGAACTGTGGAATCCATATAAATTAAGGAAAATTTTAAATATAGTAGCAAATACTTGTTCACTTCTATAACATCAGCCTAATTACTCACGGATCAATGACTTGTGGGGTTTGGTTCTACGTTGTCATTGGCTGCCTGCAAGCAAAAAATGTTGTCCCACCAACATGACTTCTAATTTCATTTTCCATAGCACTTTTTTTCTAGGCTAAGGACAAAAACTAGACCCTAAAGTTGCATTCTTTCCCAGGCTGAGGAAGTAATCTTTGCAAAACCAAATAATTCAACATATTTTGAAAGTAGTTCTTTGCTGATTATGTGAAGTGATTCTCCGAAATGAACTAGGCCTCAGAAAAGCGCACAAAATCACTATTTGCAGATAGTTTATCCAAAAGAATTATAGGGAATCAATTTTAGTTGAAGAATCACTTCTTGCAAAAAAAAAAATCAGCTTCCTCGTAGAATCTGAAGTAGCAAGAGCTCTACCAAATTGGGCCCTGCGAGATTGTCGCTAGGAGAAGCCTTCTGGTTCTTGGCTCTCGTCTCCGTTTTGAACAAACACCTTCAATTTGTGTATTATAATAGTGCAACCATGTTGATTGAACAAGAGATGTTTAGATCTCTACAATAAAAATGGGAAGCATATTGTATGCTGCTACTGAACGTCTAAACCTATTGTTTAAGAAGGTTGCACAATGGTGGATACTGCTACAAAACTTACTATATTCACAAAAAAAAAAGTTTCAATGCCAACATGGCGATTGGGTTGCCCAGGCTTGATGACAGATCTTGATGTAATGGATGATTGGTACAACATCTTGCTTGTTTCATGCTTTCATGAACCAGCGGCTCCCGTGAATTTTCTTGAAGCAGCACCTGATCATGAGTATAGAGTTATCATAACTGATGTATGTTGGGTGCAGACGGAGATGTGAGTCGAAACAGAAGTGCCATGAATCAAGAATAATATATGACAGTTTGACAAAGAAAAACAATGAACCTATACAACAGCAAAAGCAAACCAAGGCCATTGTAACTTACAGATGCATGATGCCAGGGTTGGTCATCATCGACAAAAGCAGAGTATCAGCAAGGTTCAGTGCCTTTTATGTAGTGGACATTAACTTTGGTGAAGTACGTAGTTCTGTTCAGGAGGGGCAGCAAGCTATAGCCTTCTTCTGGTAAGGCACTTTTCACCTGCGTTAGCATCACTGCAGCATGTTAAGGGTGGTTGTTGTATGTGGTTTGAAAAAAATTGGTTGGGCTCTATAAAAAAATTTATTTGCTACTCGTACACCTATCAGTACCTCTAATGTGGCATGTGTATGTTCTGGAGGAGTGAAGGGATTGGTTCCTGTAAGTACATTGGGTAAAGCAATGAAGGAATTGGTTTTAGTAATAGGTCGCCAGGAGAAATTAGTGTTAGAGGGCATAATTAACTACCTCTCCTGGTATGAGAACTGGAGGTGCAAAGCAGGAAGTGCCAGGATCTGCTTTAGGCAGGGGCAGAGAATATCCTAGCTTCTGTTCCTTGTTAGGATCGAATGTGTACCTTTGTGTAACCCGTAGATCCGGGGATGATCTCTTCCTTTAGGGCTTCTCCACTCGACCCTGGGACAGTAGCATCGCAGCGGGTAGACGCCGCTGTAACGGTGTAGAAGATGTCGGTGGTGCTGCAGTGGAACGGTGGAACCCTATAGGCGCGACGGTGAACTTGGTGGGGCACATCCCGTCGCTGGCAGCACTTCTTTAGGATCGGATTAGGGTTTTCTCTGTAGGTGGGTGGCGGCTCCGTTCAACCTCGTGACCCGAGCCCAGTTCCCCACTCCTCTATATATATGTGTCGTGCGACAGGGGCCCACCAACCAGTTAGGATTGGGCTCCCCCGATCAGGGAGCAGAGGCAAGGGTCCAATAGGCCGTTGGTGGAGATCAACTAACATTCTCCCCCTTGATCTCATTCCATCTTTCAATTTCATATTATTTACTTTTGTTCATTCCATTACAGATTAGCGCATAGAGCATGTCTCATCGTCCCGGTCCATTACCGATAGATTTAACAGCTACAACACACTACTCTATTCTGAAACAGATACTAATCTTTGGGCCTTCTTTTGTCCAGGAATTTTAGGCTTCCCTTAAACCCATGCTAGCTACATGTTCTCTGAACATGTTGGGTGGTAAGCCTTTTGTAAGCGGATCCGCGAGCATTCTTTCTGTACTTATATGCTCAAGACTTATGACTTGATCCCGGACTTTATCTTTCACAACATAATACTCTATGTCAATGTGTTTGGCAGCACCACCTGACTTATGTTGTGAGCATACTGTACTGCTAGATTATAATCGCAGTATAACTTAAGTGGTCTATAGATGTCGTCAACCACCTTCAAACCGGGTATGAACTTCTTTAGTCAGTTCACCTGCCCGTTGCCTCATAACACGCTACAAACCGTCATACATTGTGGACGATGTAGTGACAGTTTGCTTTGAGCTTTTCCATGAAATAGCTCCCCTTTGCGAGATGATAGAAAATCCACGTCTGGATATGCATTCACTCTCGCATAATCAGGATCTGAATATCCCACTATGTGAAATGAATAAGATCTTCTATATGTCATCATGAGGCCTTTCGTTCCTTACAAATAATGCAAGACTTTCCTTACTAATTTCGGTGTTCTATTCCAGAATTGCTCTAGAATCTGCCAAGTAAAACCCGGTAACAAATGTCAAGTCAGGACGCGTACATACTTGAGCATGTTGCAAGCTTCCGACAGCTGAAGCATATGGAACCACTTTCACTTTATCAATTGAGCTCATATTGGTTCCTGGGGCATTGAAAATCCCCATATATGTCGCCCTTGACTATAGGAGCAGGTGAGGGACTATATTTGTGCATACTGAATTTCTTTAAGATCTTTTCCATGTATGCCTTTTGTGACAGTCCTTATACCCTTTTTCTTTTATCTCGGTGAATCTCGATCCCTAGAACGAACGAGGCTTCGCCAAGATCTTTCATATCAAATTTCTTTGTCTCCAGTAGTAGACTGACATCACTACTAGCAAGTAAGATATCATCTACATACAAGACAAGGAAGACAAACTTTCCATTCTTAAACTTTGTATTGACACAATTGTCCTCTACATTCTCTTTACTATGTATAGACACAATTGTCCTCTACATTCTCTTTAAAACCCAAAATTCTTTATTGTCTGATCAAACTTCAAGTACCACTGTCTTGAAGCTTGTTTTAATCCATAAAAGAATTTCTTTAGGCGGCATCACATTCGTTCTTTTCCTTCCATGACAAAACCTTTCGGTTGTGCTATGTAAACATTTTCCTCCAAGTCTCCGTTGAGAAATGCCGTCTTTACATCCATCTGATGTAATTCTCAATCGTAATGTGCCACTAATGACATTATGATTCTGAAGGAAACTTTACATGAGACTGAAGAAAATGTCTCATTGTAATCAATCCCTTCTCTTTGCATATAGCCTTTTGCCACAAGTCGCACTTTATATTTCTCTATATTCCCTTGAGAGTCAAGTTTTATTTTGTAGACCCATTTACAGCCTACTGTTTTGGCTCATTTAGGAATTATTTCCAAATCTCAAACTTTATTGGCATTCATCGATTTTATTTCATCTTCCATGGCCTCAAGCCACTTTGATGAATAATCACTTCTCATGTCTTCTTCAAATGAGGTGGGATCATCCTCCATTTGAAATTGCTCAGTGTTGTACACTTCATAATCAGCAGGAATAGCTGATTTTCTAACTCTTTGAGACCTTCTAGGGGCCTTCACATTTGGCACATCTTCTGTTTGAGGCTATTATTGCTCCCCCTCATGTGTGGCAATAGGTTCTATAGGATCCTGAAGAACAGGTTCTTCATCGTTATTCATTGTTGCCACAGGTGGGATAACAACAGGTGCTGGCACCACAATATCTAGCATTATCGGTGCAGCGACAGCAGGTAGTGAGAAAATTGGCTCATGAATCATTGGAGTGGGCACATACACCCGCTTCACTTCAAGGTCAATTTCTCGAGCTACCATGCTTCCCCTCATCAATTCGTCATCTAGGAAGGCAGCGTGTCTCGTTTCCACAAACTTTGTATGTCTCTCTGGACAGTAGAAACGGAAACATTTTGACTTTTCTGGGTAGCCAATGAAATGATAACTTACTGTTTTGGGAACTAGCTTCCCAATATTTGGGTTAAATACTTTAGCCTCAGCAGGGCTCCCCCACACACACGTAAGTGGTTTAGTGAGGGTACTCTTTCTGTCCATAACTCATACGGTGTTTTGGGCACCGACTTTCTTGATACTCTATTGAGAATATGAATGACATTTTTTTAACGCCTCCATCCACAGGCTTAACTGTAAGGTGGAGTAACTTATCATACTACCCATCATATCCATCAGGGTACGATTGATTCTTTTAGCTACTCTATTCTGCTGAGGTTCATCTGGTGTAGAATACTAGGCTACTATACCATTCTTTTAGGGTATGCCGACCGTAGTACTCTCCACAGTCAGTCAGACCTGACTATCTTAATCTTTAATATCTTAAATTTATCCAATACATCCTTTTTTTCTTTGATTGGATAAATATAGCCATAATGGGAGTAATCATCTGTGAATATTATGAACGGATCATAACCATCCATACTCTTTACAGGAAAGTTGACCATAGATGTCTATGTGAATAATCTGTAAAA